CCCTTCGTCCCTTGAGTTCCATAATTAAAAATGCAGTGAAATATTATTTCTCATCAAACTTTCTCCTATGTAGCGGACTCATTTCTGACTGTTCATCTTCTCTAATGTGGTGTTTTTCCTGCCTCGATTTACTTTGCTTTCTGTGGTTATATGATGTAGGACAATCCTATTGTAAATAGGATTACGATTAAATATTTATAATAAAATGTCTAGTTGAAATAAGTTTTATCTATTATTCTAATGTTTTGTTTAGAATATGATTTTTTTTTTTTTTTTTTATGGATTGGAATAGGATTTCTAATTTCTTTTAGATTAGAATTTTAGTTTATTTCATTTTAGAATTTAGTTTCCTTATATTAATAGGATTAAGGAATAATTTTGCCATTAAATACAAAGATATTGTATACTTTTCAATAGCAATCAATTATTATTCAATATATACAAGACACGATTGTTCAAATATCATTCTTATTTATTACATAATTCTTATTACAAGAATTTCAAAACGCTTCCGCACCAAAATTGGTATCAGAGTAAGGAAATTACCTTAATCCGATGGCCAACGAAGATACTGGTGGCAGTCGAATCACCGACGACGAACGAAGGCTCGACAAATTCGAACAACGAATCGAGATGATCGATGAAACCCTTCACAACATCACGCAGATACTAACTGTGTTGAGTCTTGAAAGAAATCGCGAGCCCATGGAGAAGTGAGTTGACAAGAATTTGCAGACCTTAACTGCTATAAATGCTGGTTGTTTTTCAACAAACATAGAACACGGCAACATGTGGCTAGAGAATTTTCTCAAGTCTCAGCCAAACTCGAAAACACACAAGTTATCAAAGATTCTTTTCTTCAATAAAACTTGAGGATGAGTTTTTTCAAGTCGGAGATATTGATGTAAGCCAATCTTATTGTAAATAGGATTAGGATTATATATTTATAATAAAATGTCTAGTTGTAATAAGTTTTATCTTTTATCCTAATATTTTGTTTAGAATATGATTTCATTTCTTTATGGATTAGAATATGATTTCTAATTTCTTTTAGATTAGGATTTTAGTTTATTTCCTTTTANNTTTCTTTTAGATTAGGATTTTAGTTTATTTCCTTTTAGAATTTAGTTTCCTTATATTGATAGAGTTAAGGAATAGTTTTGCCTATAAATACAAATGCATTGTATACTTTTCAACAACAACAATAAATTATTATTCAATATATATAAGACATGATTGATCAAATATCATTCTTATTTATTACATAATTTTTATTACAAGAATTTCATAAATGCTTTTGCACCATTATATTTTGTAC